TTTTAACGCTTTGACAGCATCATAGTGGCAAGACCATCTGGTCTGGCTTAAACTTTTTAACGTGAATTTTAATTTTATTTCACGATTCAACAGTTCCCACCTATGGGTCGAAGCAGAAAAGAAAACGTATAATTTGTTGCACTACTCCAAAAAAGTTTACAATTTCGGTTGCAACGTTAACAGATCTCAGGGTTGCCATTATTAACTTTAAAAAAATAATGAAAAACAGCATGAAAACAACCTTTTACACGTATTTCCCCCCTCAACTACATTCATAAAAGTATACAATTTGTAATCAANACGTAACAAATCGCTGTATATAACTACTAGTTGATTGAAAAAAAAATAGAACGATAATAACCGATTAAAAACCGAAAACCGGTTTTTTTTCTTGGAAACCGAAAAAAAAATCGGTTTTTGATAAACTTTCGGTTTTGCATACCCTATTTATGATTTAAGGTTTTAGATATTTTTTTCTAAAAAAATACATATTCACTATAAAAGAAAAATACAGAATACACTTAATAATAAATAAGCAGCAAGTGACAGATAAGTTCATACATAAATGGAACTACAGAAAATAAAGAAGTCAAATTAACAAACCGCCCAAATGCTATATTTTTCCACCTTTGTTTGCTTCTATTGTTCTTAAGCTACCCATATTGCAACTACAAAACCAGCAACGTAATAACGGCTTGGCTTCCATTACGTAAGGCTCAACAGTTACTATGTAACTATTTTTTTTACATTACAAGTATTAAAAAACTAAAACCCAACTACGACAAAAAACGACGCTGAAAAAGTATAAAACAAGATTTTCAGAATACTGAACTGAACAAAGTTGCTAATGTAGTTGCATAGTAATTTTCATGTTTGGAAAATCGCAGTCACACGTTGTCAAAGTGCTACGGTAGGTAGGTATGTAACGTGTGACTACGCCTATACATACATAGTTATGATGATTGAGGACATCGATTGAGAGAATTGAGATGAAAGGACTACCGATTGGGGATTTAAAAATCGATTTTCCTCTAATATCTCTATGTCCACTTTTTTGTCGTGCCGATCCACTGGGGTCATTCATTTGGCCAGCGAGTTATCTTGCAGTGTGCCGCAAGTTGCAAGCACATCCGCGCATTCGCAGAAGTTGGTCGCTGTAGCACAAAAATTATTAATTATTATAACATTCTAAAAGTATTATAATCTTAGGAACGTTGAGCATCTACCTACCTATTTGCAAGTTTTACAGTCTCATCTGTTTTAAAGGCGGGGCAGTAAAGGTAAGTAGGTACCAATTTTTTTTACCGCTGTATTTCAAAATACCTAATTCCTTATTATCTAATATTTCCCCCTGAACAAATTAGCAACGCCGAGACATTTTCGAAGCCGATTTGGAAGTAGATATCGCCGGCAATATCTGTGGTTATAATAGTAGAAGCTATAAGATAGATAAGTAGATACAACCCGTATATACAACCCGTATAGAAAAATATTTATTTATTATTATTTATTTACCCGCAAACCTCCGTAAAAGTCCGTATCAGAACCAAGAACGTTGATGTGACGTCACGGCCGCCTGGTGCGCAGTTAACTCGACCGGGTAGCAGTACTTTATTGAGTGCGAATAGCATAACAAAAGCTGACTGACTGCATTGTTTATTTATCCAAAAAATACCTACCTACTTCTGTCAGTACTCATGGAATGTTATAAAATAATGTAAGTTTATTTTTTAAACCACAGCGGAGGTGAAGAAATGAGGGTAAAAAGTGAAGACGACTAGGCCGAAATAGCAAGTGTGCTTAGCCCGAAATCCTCATCTACTGAGGTACTGGCTATACCTACATATAAAAAAATTAAAAAAACGAAAATATTTTATTCAATTTAGACCACTAGTGGCACTATGTCTGTTACCATTGTTCTTAAGGGGAACTTCGTTTGGTCTGTCCAGGAGGAGTATGGCCGTTGACATGGGCCAACAACAACTCAATTTAAAATAGTGTAAGGTACCTATAGGTTATTATTTTATCTCCACTTCAGCACTGTAACAAACATTGGCGAATAATTATGTAGGTACGATGCATTAACGCACAGTACAAACATTTGTGTGCATGAACATATTTGTTTGTATTGGACTGGGTGTTTTCTATGTATATTAAGTATGTATTTACAAAAAAAAAAGTATTTAAGTATGTTTATATCCGTTGTCTAGTACCCATAGTACAAGCTTTGCTTAGTTTGGGACTAGAAGCGCAGTGTAAAATGTCCAAGGATATTTATTATTATTATTATCTCTTTATTCAATTTCCTTCTTATTTTTAATATTTTTTTTACAATGTAAATTATAAAAAAACTAAAAATACATTATAAAAAAAATTCTTAAAAANAATGATAGATAGGGGGGAGGAGGTGTTTCGAAATTGACGTCATTCTTATTTATTTATTTATTGTTCACGTACAAAAAGATTATTTCGAAAAAGAAATCTCTTCCAGTACACCTAGTAAGTGAGGCTGCAAATGTGAGAGGCGGCTAAGGCGCGTACAATACTAAAATAACTCATAATAAACATACATAATGCAACATAGATGTACCTACACAAATACAGTAATAACTACAGATAAAATACTCTAACAATAAATTACATAATAATATACACATTGCATGTTTTAATCATACAGGGTGTTTNTCTATACTATGTAGCTGGAAATAGTGGCGGGAGCTCTTTGGCGCGCTGTCTTCGGCGAAGAATTGCGCGCGCAGATTTTGACAGCGCGAAATACCTACTTTAGCAGAAATACCAAGCCTTAAGTCTAAAATTAACGCGTGCCATTTTGCACTTTATTCGTAAACGTTTTAAGTGTAAAATGTTATACGTCCAATTTTAGTCTTAAGGCGTTATTGCTAATTCAACGCCGTTAGCTTTGCACAGTTGTACAACATACTTTATTAGTTATTCATTTCAGGCGAACGTAGTCGCAGTGTGGCGGTTTGGGATCCAGTAGGTAACTGGTGTACACTATTGAAAACTGTAAGTGATTTTAAATTGTATTCTTACCTTTTAAAGTGATTAATCTAGTCATGGACAGTTCATCTCATTGGCAAACATCGTGCATGTTTTATGGTATTTCAATGAAGCGTAGAACTTTGATTTAATTTATTCATATTTTAGTAACCATAATGTCAGTTAGTGATTTTAAAATTTTCGGGATAAATTAATATGAAAATTAATTAGTTTGAAATGTGCTCTATCTATACTATAATATTATGTAGGTATTTATATTGAGATAATTGTGAATCTGCTGATAAGACTGATATACCTACCTAACTAATATAATGTAGAGTGATAGATAAGCCACTTCACGCCAGGCAATTAGGTAAGTAAGTGTGTTGCATGCACTTCCCAAGGTTCTAAATTGTCGATTAAAATCCATATAATTATACAGGGTGTTAGGTAAATGGGTATATGAGCCGACACTAGCCCATGTTAACATGGTCATATAAATGGTATGATGAAGTCAGAAAATTGATATCTTCATTTTAATCATTTTAGATTTTCATACAAATCGGATTTTATAAGATTTATTTTGTATGAAAATTAAAAAAAAAAATTATGATATCAAATTTTTCTGACTTCACCATACCATTTAAATGCCCATGTTAACATGGGCTAGTGCCGGCTCATATACCCATTTACCTAACACCCTGTATAATTATAATACCTGTTTGCTTACACACTACGTTCAAATTGTGATTAGAAAAATGAAAATACCTACTAAATACAGTTTTAAGTATGTAATCAGATACTACTATAGGTGCCAGTAGGTACCTATTAAGGTTTAATTATGAAAGAAATGTGAATTGTTTTCAAAATGCTGGTTTTAGGTAGGTATGCTAATTTGTGATAACAAAGAGTTGTGTCGTTGAGCACCGTGCATATTCGTTGGCACGAAGCAGACAAACATACGCGGCCTTGACCATGACCACCAAGCTAATCCGAGATCTTAACTGTGATCCATACCGTCTATATTTGCATGCAGCAGAGTGGCGCTCACAGTTATTTCAACTAACAAGCTAAGATTTGACTACCAAGCTATTAGAATAAATCTAACTATTATTGTCAAGAGTGGGCGAGTCGAATAGAACTTTGTATTGATACTCAGAACTTCAGATGAATTTTATTTTTAGCTCAACAAAAAAAAAAGAATTAAAATGTCTGCAATTTCCTGGAGTTATGCATAGACGCCACGTCAAGTCAAACATTGTATAATGTAGTTACTTACATTAATTAAATTATTTAAAACTTTAATGCCAAATAAATTAATTTATGAACGATAACGTAGTAGATAGGTAGACCTCAAGGTGGACCGAATTCTGAAAGTAGCGGGAATCACCTGAATGTGGACAGCCCAAGCTCGGCCGTTGCGGTAATTCTTGGTGAGTGGTGACTGGTGAGGGGTTGATTGAACGAAGAGTAGTCTACTATGAGAATAAACTAGGTTACTATGAGAATGAAATATGTACCTATTAAGTACTTCGACACTATGAAATAGTAGGTGAATCAATTGAGTTGGGAACAACAAGTGACCACAAAACCTACAACCCGGTCGACCTACCTACCTACTACGCTGCGCACCTGGCTGTCGTGACGTCGCGAGTCGGTCGGACCTACACATTATTTGAATTGCCATACGAAAATCTAAAAATCGTGTTTTGACAGCTCGTCATGAAAAAATGTATGTGTTTTGTCACACGTTTGTATTAATTTCTAGCAAATTATTTTGAAGTACTGCCATGTCTGCCATGCGTTTATGACGAATTTACATTCAATGTATAGAACTTACAAAAGTGTGAAATCGACTTTGTGGCAACAACTCAATTTAAAATAGTGTAAGGTGCCTACCTATTGGTTATTATTTTATCTCTACTGTAACAAACATTGGCGAATAATTATGTTCGATGCATTAAGTAAGTGGTATCTGACCGTAACGTTCGAAGCAGCAACAAAATGGACAACAACATGGGGCGCAGCCTGCAAGTGGTGGACGTGAACAGCGACCAGCGAAGTGAAGCTGTTGGCCTACATTTCACCTGATGGAAAGTGAAGACGAGGCCGAAATAACCCGAAATCCTCAATTACTGAGGTACTGGCACTGGCTAATCTTCCCTCCAAATGCTGTTACCATTGTTCTTAAGGGGAACTTCGTTTATTCTGTCCAGGAGGAGTATGGTTGACTTGGGGCGCAGTCTGCAGGTGGTGGACGTGAACAGCGACCGCTCGTTCGCGCTGGACGAGGCGGCGCTGCGCGCGCTGCTGACGCCGGAGCTGCGCGCGCTGCCCGTGGCGGTGCTCAGCGTGGCCGGCGCCTTCCGCGGCGGCAAGTCCTTCCTGCTCGACTTCTTCCTGCGCTACCTCAACGCTTCGGTGAGTGCTCATCGCCGTACCATGGTGCGCTGGCGTGGAGCTCTCTCCAGTTTCATAAATAATATTATTATACATAATGTATAATATAACTAACGTGACCATTTATTTTCTGTGCCAGAGCGGGACAACTGAGGAATACTTCTAAAAAAAAACCTGTGGAATTATAAAATAAAACAAAGTTTTGGGAGTTTTACAAGTTTATAGAAGATTGAGTAACACAAATCAAAGCACTAAAGACAAAACAGTTATAAAAGTAGTGGGGTGACTTCTAGTCGTATTTTTGTATTTGTCGGCGGAACAAATTGGTTTTAGAATATCGTATAGGGAAAATTTTCATCTTTTGAGCTGTGACCTCAAATCATAGAAGGGAATAGATGTGAAACGGGGGCGTGGCGCGTGTCTCCGCGAATATCGTATCTTGTTTTTAGATAACTATGGAACTCCCATGATTTATTTATATTTATTTTCGTAATCAACATAGCTTTCATTACTGCTACACTTAGCTGGGTTTTATCACTCGTCCACATTTTGTTCATTTGAGAAAAAACTCTTCTTAAAGCTAAAGCGGGACGTTTTTGGTCTTGTGGGGGACAGCGGGACAGACAGTCTGAAAGCGGGACAGTCCCGCCCAAAGCGTATATAACCCCAAAACCCCAACGCGTTTTCCCTACTTAAAACTAGTTGTTCCAAAGATAGTGAAAACTATACTCAACATCAAATAAACCGCACCTTCCGCGACGCGAACTTTAACGATTTTCTTCTGACACAATCATGGTGCCCCAACAATATTGGTGTTATTTGAAAGCCCAATAAATATTCTTAAAGAAAAACACATTTAATTTCTTAATAAATGATTAACATATACCATAAATGTGACTTGAAAAAATACCTCATTTTGGGCCCACCTATGGGATCAATTAGACCAATTTTTATGGTTATAAAACCAAATAATGATCTCACGTGTCCTCTTTAACAGATGGATAGCGATTAATCCCAACTTAACAGTTTTATAGCCCTAAAAGTTGGCTCCAGCGTAACTACCTATTTTTTGAAGAAGTGACTCTGGATCCTACTAAATACACATTTTTGGGGTAAAAACCTTTCCTTTAATGCAATGAAGGTTAGAACTAGGCTTTTAAATGGTGCCAATATTGGTGGGAAGTGGGGAAGCATACGTTTGAAAATGCTTGTCGCGGGATGTGCGATTTATTTGATGTCGAGTGTAGTTTTAACCGAAATATTACTTATCTGTGGGTGTAGACAAAGTGCTCATTTTAATCGCAAACCAGTCGGAAAAGTGTTCGAAAAGCCTTTTTTTTGTATGGAGTTTAGACGGATTCGATTTTCGATTCGATCAAAAAGTGCAATTTGTTATTCACTGATATTGGGGCCGTCCATATATTACGTCATTCTAAATTAGGGGGGGGGGGGGGGGGTTAAAGATTTCCTGGCCTGGACTTGGTATTACATGGATCTCACAACTTTTTACCGTAGAACAACTGAGTTGCGAGACTTGGTTTTTTTGACAAGTATTGTTTTTGATGGGATCTCATTTCTTTTTGTATTTTGTAGACAGCAGTTATGTATCTAGAAAACTGGACCGAAATTGAAAAATTTTACTCGACTTGGCGGTTGCACTACCGTGCCCCCAAATATTTTAGTTTTTCCTTGATTCATACACCAAACACTACTTATATTCCAAATTTGAAGCTTCTAGGTCTGCTAGAAGTGCCTTAGAGTTTTGATGATCGGTGAGTCAGTGAGTCAGTCAGTGAGTGACAAAATTAAGTAACTTTGACCCGTTATAATTCTTAAACTACTGCAACTGGTTCAAATTGAATGAAATTTTAAATATACCGTGTCTTTACAATGCCTGCATAGCTAATGAAAATTCAGCCTTCTAGTTTTATCCACAACGAAGTTACAGGCGGTCGAAAATGGCCTGAATTGCTTCGAGAAAAGGATGGTACGGCCGTGCCGCTTTTTTGCTCGACTTGGTAGGGGCACTGCCGTGCCCCCAGATCAAGAAACGGCTACAGATCTGTCCAAGCTGATACAGCGAATGATAGGCACTTATCACGACTCACCGTATCTATACTAATAAATATTATAAATCTGAAGAGAATTCGCCTCGTACTTGGGCCGCACGTTCGGCGTCACTGCTGAAGTTGATTGACCTGGAAGAATCCTGTTGACGACTCTCCATTCTTACCTCAACTTTGGCACCCACGACGAGAAAGGAAAAGACAAAAGAGCGACGCCTCGCACCAGTGATTCGTCGCATTTTAAATATTGCGCACGCGTGGTGGGCATCCGACCAGTGGCGACAACAAATTTCAAATTCGCATTATCAAACTCCATTTTGAAAAAATAAAACTTAATTCTTTGTCGTTGGTAGTGGTGGAACATCCCACGCTGCATTTCCGGTACGCGGCCTCCACTCCAGAACCTAGCTGCCCCATCGGCCGTCAGTTCTGCGTACTATGTGCCCTGCCCATTGCCACTTCAGCTTGCTAATCCATCGGGCTATGTCAGCGACTTTCGTTCATTTACGGTTCACCACATTTCTGATTCGATCTCGTAAAGAAACACAAGGCACAAGATGACGACGACATCATAAAGGTAGCAGGAAGGTGACTGGTGGACGCAGGCCGCTACCAACCGGTCAACATGGAAATCATTGGAGAAGGCCAATGTTCAGCAGTGGACGTCCTATGGCTGAAATGATGAGGAATAATAATCTTTGGTTTTGTTTGTATTCAATTTTGAACTTGAAAAATTCCCGCTTGACACTTTTTATTTTCGCCGTAAACTAAGAGCACGGTAGAGACCACGCGACGTCAATATAATTATACTCGTATGCATCGGTGATTCCCGGTTTGGTGTAGGTAAGTAATGCCGCAAGATCGGTGTTGCTGCTCCTACATTCAGGCTACCTTCTCGTTTCAGCCAAATGACGTCCACTGCTGGAAAAAGGCCTCCCCCAAGGTTTTCCACAATGAACGGTCCTGCGCTGCCCGCATCCAGGGTCTTCCCGCGACCTTTACCAGATCGTCGGTCCACCTAGTAGGAGGCCTGCCCACGCTACGTCTTCCAGCTACCTTATCGGCCATTAAATTGCACGTTGCGGGGCAGGTGGCCGTGGTGCTCATGGACACGCAGGGCACCTTCGACAACGAGAGCACCATAGGCGAGTGCACCACCATCTTCGCGCTGTCCACGCTGCTCTCCTCGGTGCAGATCTACAACATCAAGGGAGACCTCGGGGGAGATAACCTCCAACATCTGCAGGTGATCATTATTAAATAAGGACTAAAAATAATTACAATAAAGTAGGTATTAGTTAATCTAATTTGAAACTACTCTTTATCTTGATTGTTTCTGCTCTTTCAACAGTATTTTACAGCGATCGCACGGCTGGTGCAGGACAATGACGCTGGATATCCGTTCCAACATTTGAAATTTCTTATCCGAGACTGGACTAGTGACGTAGTCAACTACCCGCACGGCGCAGAAGGTGGCCGACGCCTGATTGAGAGGGTCTTGCAAGTACGTTATTACAATCATCTTGGGAGAAATTCTTACAATTTCTTTTGAATCCGAAGTAACAGCCCATCAAAATCATTCTCGTCTATAGGTAATCGTCAACCAAATTTGACCGTTATGATTTTGCTCATCATGAGATTTTATTTTAATTAATAAAGTTCCTAACCCTCGAGTAGGTCTTTGTAGGTTGTTGGCTCTGACCTACTTTTTTGGACGTACTATTATATTCCTTCTGTACCTACTTTATGTACGCGTGGAAAAGCTTTATCATATTTAATAAATAAGGGTATGAAAAATAGTTTACGTCCTATTCTCAGACCTATTGAATCCTATACCTACATTACACACCACATAAGAATCGGTCAAGCCGTTTTGGAGAAGTCTAACTACAAACGTTGTATCACGAAAATTGTATTATATTAGAGAGATAGGCCTTTTTTACCTAAGAAAATGGCCTATATACCTACCGCCGGGGGACGGCAGGTTTTGTGGGGCTCGAAAAANGCTCGAACCCACTAAAAACCTGGGGTGTTCCCTCTGCCGCATAGTGGTCGGCTCCTTGGGTAACTAGAAACGACCAAGGGTGACCAAGGCGCCTTCCGCGGACGTATCACCCTACACGGGGGGACCCAACACGCCCCACTTAATGGGGGGCCGTTAGAGATAGGCCTACTAACATTTTAAGAAACAGTTTTCGTTATACAGGTTAGGCCTGAGCAACCGCCTCAGCTCCAAGAACTCCGGCGCGATTTGCGATCTTGCTTCGAAAATATAGACTGCTTCCTCATGGCTCATCCAGGCTACAATGTCGGTAGACAGGGCTTTCAAGGTTGCTTAGCAGGTAGGTGTTAATTTCTCTGGACTTACTTATTTATTTATTTATTTATTTACGTGCTTCTAATCCACTTGAAAATGTTCCGTGTAACAGATGAACCCAATAAAAACTCATGTCGGCTACCGAGACTTAAGTAGGTATTGTCTATTCCTTACCGAGCATACAAATCGAATAATTAAAATTGTTTGCTCAACTGCGGAGGTCTAGTAGCATGCTGAATCTTAATGTAGATACTAAAGCTATTTGATTGAGTATGCGATGGCTTAGTAGTAGTAGATAGCTTAGACGGAAGTACTAATTAGGTATTTATTAACAGCATGCTGACACCTTTGTGCTGATTTCAGACCTTCAGCCAGAGTTTAGGACGTGCTTGTTGGAGTTGGTGCCTCTGGTGTTAGCGCCCAACCGTCTCGTGGTCAAGCGTATCGGTGGCCAGAAGGTGACGGCGGACGAGTTCATCCATTACTTCAAGAATTACATGGACTTGTTCAACAGCGGCAACCTGCCTGAGCCCGCTACGATACTCCAGGTCAGCACTACAACAGGCTATGAAACAATATGTTGCGCTGAAAGACCGAAAATGATCATTAGATCAGAGACGAAAAAACAGCTTACAAAAAGTCATAACGTGTTGTGGTCAGTGTAAGGGTACTTCTCATTTACACTCAAATTTGATGGTCACACAATAATAGTTCATAAACGGTATAAGTTAGAACAATAACTTTGAAATCAGATGATAATATATCTATTTAGCTACATACAAAATAAATTTTATCGTAATAGAAGCAAAAATAATATGAAAAAATCACATGAAACGATAAAAAACGGGGTCATTTTTCGCGTTCTTATCGTGTCACACCTTCGGTTGCAATGAAACATTTGGTTACTGCATTCACAATTTTCATTCAATTTGTGTGTAGCATATACTAAAATCATCGTTATTAAATATACTTTCCACACAATAGTCAAAAAAATATCTTCTTATAATTATTTTGAATTGAGAAAGCGAAATACGTTGGTCACACGATTTTAGGTANAGAACCGTGGCGATGAGAAGTACCCGTAAACTGTAAACGTTCGCGAAATTCGTGTCATGGTTTTTAAAAGCGCTTTAAGATGCGTTGTGGCAATGAATAAAAGTAATGAAGTGTTTTGAGCCCAACTTGGTGTAGGTGAGAATCCAAAACAGTTGAAGGGACTTTGATGATTATGGGACCCCTGCCAAAAATGAAACAACTTAAAAGTAAGAACCCGTTGTATTGGCAGGCGGCCGCTGAGACGGGTCTCCTGCTCGCTACGGAGGCGGCGCGCGCGGAGTTCGCGAATCACATGGAGAAGTGCGCGGGCGCGCGTCCGATGGCGCCGGCGGCTGTGCGCCGCATCCACGCGCAGGCCGTCGCCGCGGCCCGCGAACTCTTCACCGCCAGGAGGCTCATGGGGAATCGCCAGAACATCGACCAGGCTCTGGCAAGAATCACGACGGTACGTACATTGATAACTTCACAGTTTGAAGGCTGGAAGGTTAAGGTTTGAATTAAAATTATTGAAATAAAGTATCGTTCATCCACGATAAGATCAGCATACGTTGCGTGTTGTAAACCGAATAGGGGACTGGTATAAAAAAACATTATGATTAAGATGATAATTATTAAGAAGTAGGTAATGCAGTATGAGTAGATGCAAAGAAATATATGATGCAAATGACCATCTTTGACTTGCTTTATACATATTATTTCCACAAGCAATAGACCTTTAGAAGACAGAAGAAGATTTTTTTACATAAATTCTGTTTAGATTTTAATTTTATTTTCTCAATTTCTCGAGCTGCGTGCAGCCAGGGTATTCAGGGATGCACGTTAAGATTTAACTGGCCAAGGTAAAATTGAGAATTTATTTAATACATACATGTAGAATTTAAGACAGTTGTTAAGGATACTGACAGATCCTAGGGCTTACGCTGCCTTGCTAAAGCTGTTGTGTTCGTGTCCAGGAGTTCGAAGGTCGTCTGCAAGATTTTATCACAATAAACGAGGCGAATATGGGAAAGGCGTACAACGAAGCAGTAAGTCAGTACGTGGAGCTGGTGCTGGGGACCACGGCCGAGACGCGCCTGTGCGTCGGCCCTGCGGCCCTGGAGGACGCCCATAGCGCCGCATACGACACCGTTGTTCAAGGCTTCAAGGACATGTTCGAAGTCACCAGCAGTGACAATGAGACAAAGCAGCTGATAAGGGTATTCACTTACTTATCGATTTTATTTACACATAAAATTACAGTCTTTTTAAGAATATAAAAAATCCTTTTGCCTCATTGTTTGCCATTATAATATTTTAAAACAAAACTTCCGACCGACCGCATATTAATCCATACTATTAGTTTCTAAGGATGATTCAATCCAAGGTAAGTAGTTACTATTGATTGATTTGTTTTGCCCAGGATATAAACGCGCGTTATGCTAGCTTGGTCCAGATCAACGAAATGAACAACAGCGGCCATCTTTCTGGAGCAGTCAATGAGTACGTGTCCGAAATGAATCGGCAAACCGAGGGCCAACCCTGCATGAGCACCTCTTTGCTGAATGTTAAGCATGCCTCGGCGCTTCAAGCTGCTATGGACTTTTTTAAGAGCAAACGGAACCACAGCTCTGATCCGTCTCATAGTGATAGTTATTTGGAACGCTTGGAGAGGGTAATTATATTGATTGAATTCTTTATTTTACTATAAAATTGGTTTCATTCTCATGCTGCTCTTGTATTTTAGGACATAGTAAATAACCAATTGGTGAATTATGTTCGACTGAATAAAGCTAACACTGCAGCAGTCGTGATGGCGGTGGTATCGAATTACAAAGACCGCATGGCTCAAGTGTTCGGCATGCACATGAAGTGTGTACCGCCAAGGATGTTCGTAGAAAAAGAAAGAGACGTGAGGGTGCAGACCAGAAAGATGTATCAGGAAAAAATTGAAGTTGCTGAAGGTGAACCTGATAGCCATTGGGTGGAAATCGAAAGGGTAACTCTACTACTATTTTTGTATATTAATTTTGTAATTATATACCTACCTACATTTATTATACACAACATGTGCGAGTTCATAAATGAGGAAATGAGCGCTGAGCATTACATGATGAAGAGCTTTCAGTGTTTGCACTATTACTAATTGCATTACCTACTAAGCCATAATTTGACTTTTCAGTTTTTTGATTCTAAATCTCAATAATGCAAGTAAGTACCTACTTACATACTCCGTACTTATTACCTACAATCTGAAAAATCTCACGCGTCACGATCTTAATCGTCCTAGAAACGTGACAGAACGCGGCTTAAGGTAAACGGCTACTAGTTCGTGATAGTACGTAAGTTCGTAAGTTTTTTTTCTAGCTCAAATAATAAGCAAATGGAATATTATTCATAAAAATTCTTCATTACTACAAAAACTCTATTATTTAAGCTATCTAAAAAACCAAGTACCAACATTGTGGCGCCAAAAATGAGAGCAATACGAAGCTTCAAACTCTCAGAGAGCCAAAAACAGCCGTGCGGCTTGCAAAGGTTGCTCTCATCGTAAGGTTAGCGCTCCAACTTCTTAAGCTTATAAAAAGGCGAAGGAACGTCCATTTAAATAAAACTTGTAATAGTGGTTTCATGTGTTCCTTGACAATTGATTTGGCTTATAAAAAAGTTATATGAAAACGTAGAATTCCTTTAAAATTGCGATTAATTGACTCACGAAATAGCGTACANCTTAATATACCGAAGTAGGGGGCACTTACCTTATTTAAAATTATGCTAGACGTAGGTGTCGTTAAAAGATTACCCACTTGTAATAAGTACCACTACAGATAATAGATACTAGTACCACTAAGTACGCACAATTTATCATTATTAACAAACTTGTTTCCAGACGATTGACCAGCACTGCGCTCAGGTAAAAGAAAACAACGTGGAGTTGAACATAGGCGCTGTTAATGCCGCGATTGAGCAGTATCGTAAACTCATGGACAACAAGACTGAGCCCTACCCGGCGCTGCTACGTTGGTTGCTGTCGCCGGCGCGGCTGATACAGCTGTCGTTGGACCTGCGGCGCTACCACCAGGCCTCCAAGACCGAGGCCATCGCCGTCTTCAAGGCCCGCCGTCGCGATGAGCTTATCGAACCAAATGACGTCTACTATGAAGATTTAAAGGCCGTACGTATTCTCCTTAAATCAACTCGTATTATTATCAATTTAGGTCGCTGGCATTGCAATAGGGAGTTTCATACAAAGAATACTGAGGGCTCAGTGGGAGTTTTTATCAAATGTCACTAGACTAGTGAGCGCGTAAAAAAATTACGGATTGTACAGCGCCCCTAGCGGGAGCTTTCAAAAACTAAAATTTTCTATTTTTTTAACGCGCTCACTAGTGAGGACGTTTGATTTAAACTCACTCTAAGCCCTCTGAACGGTTCGATTTGACACGGTTACGATCCCTTTCAGAGTTTGTAAATTGTACTTTGTCCATCACAATAGGTAAGTAATTAATTATGTATTAATAAATGCTTGACGTGTCTGAACTAACTGTAGACTTGAGTTAGATCTTTTTGTAGGCTTGTTAACCAATCAGAACTTTCAAATGCATTGACATATTAAACTAAATAATAAAGTGTTTGAAGATTCTGAACAAAAACCGGCGGTAAAAAAGGCACTTGACGAATCGAAACCATTTTCTGAGTAACTTAGTTGGTTCGATAGAAAAATTTCTTTCTTTAAAACAGGATCGATTAGAGTTCCAAAATGTAGAAAAAAATTACGTCTAAGTATTAGGTCCATGCGTGATGTGTAAGTTTTATTTTAATATTTTTATTTAGTAACTTTATTTTGTTTTCAGAAAATCATCGAACTTCATAAGCGCTACAAGAACCCGCTCCAAATAATGGCTAATGAACTAAGCAACCCTGCCATGTTAGGACATGGTGTTATGTTAGGGTTAAATAATGATGACAGTGATGACTGATATAGATCCAAAACACTGAACTGTCCTATCTGTGACATTGACAGCGGGGCGTCACCGTCAATACCGGATCGCTGGTTCCGATTTTTGCCATGTTGGAAACTATAGGTACAGGTTGGAATTTTGTAATGCCACGTGAAGGGAAAGTACCTACTCTTAATATAGTAGATAGACATTTTTTCTCAAAGAAAACATTCCTTTGTTTTTTAAAAGAAATAGAATTGCATTCAAAGATTTCCATAAATTTGCATGCCACACCCGGGAATCGAACGGAAAAAAATTACACCCTGTCTTTTTATTGCATCGATCGTTAGGGTTAAGTTTATGGATGAAATCTCTCTAACTAACTTGTTATATTAAATGAAAGGAAAAATTTTCTCCAGGTGGCATTACAAAATTCCACCCTGTATATTTTATTACTCTTATGTAATAATTAGGTAACTTGATAAATAATAACAATGTTATACCTACTATTTTTTATATTACCTAATATACTAACTTTAGAATATACATGTTAGAAATAAGTTTGTATTAAGTAAAATCTGTGGTAAAATGTTTGAACATGACAATTAATTTTACCGCAGCCAAAACCCTTCTCTAGGTAAAGACGGTTTATTGTAAAGGCTGCTTCATTATTTCAAGCTCAATTACNATGTGTTCCTTGACAATTGATTTGGCTTATAAAAAAGTTATATGAAAACGTAGAATTCCTTTAAAATTGCGATTAATTGACTCACGAAATAGCGTACATATTATTTTTCGGGTGTCCCCTATTTCGTGACACTACCGATTCAAGGATATTATGGATAACATTTTGATGATTGGTTTTTAAATAATTATTTATAATAATTTGAATGTAAGTTATGAAACAAATAATGCATTTATTTAAGTTTCTCATGACCTAAATTCGGTATATGTTTCGTTCACTAGAATTTATATGACACGAGTTTGAAGTTCACATATCGCACCTTCGGTAGAACAAGGGCACAATTGCACTTTTTGCAATTTTACAGGAGAGCTATTAATTATTAGCTACACATTTTTAAAGTATTTCTGCATACTTAACTCATTTTTGCAATTTTTGACAATTGTGCCCTTGTTCTACCGAAGGTGCGATATATGACCAATTTTNTAGAAAAATAATTACTAATTACCTACTTATTTATTAGGACGAATTATTAATATTTATGTAGGTATACCATGATTGATACTTTTGGAGTCGGTGCAGGCAAACTTTACATGTTTCATAATCTTGGCACCGACTCAGAAGTATCAATCATGGTATACTTACATAAATATTAATAATTCGTCCTAATAAATAAGTAGGTAATTAGTAATTATTTTATTTTTCTACTTTTTAGTGTAGGTTTTTTGGAGTCGGTTTTATTTTTTTTTATAAAATTTTTATCGACAAAAAAGAGGTCAAAAATGTTTTGACATTTTTTTTTAATTTTTTATAGATTTTTTTCTTCCAATTACTTATTGTAAAGAAAAAGCAATAACTTTTAAATTAAGAGGTATATCCTGATAAAATAAAAACAGTAATAATGCTAAATAACAGACGATACTAAAAAAATACATAAAATAGTCAGAAAATGCCAACAAATCGTTTGAACTAAGCCTCTCCGGGCGCGCCATTCAACGCTTCGTTAACAACGAAACTGAAAATGGCTCAAGATTTGTAATTTTGATAAAGACAAGTTAGATTTCAAATAAAAACAAAAGATTTCGAATTAAAACAAAAGATTTCAAAGTAAAATAAGCATTTTAGTTAAAATTAAAATTGTCTCTACCTGTGGCGGAGAATAATGTTGTGGCAGGCCTTTGTTCAAACGATCATAGCAAATGTTGTGATAGGGATAGAGACATGCGATTTTTGGTTTTACAAAGGTAATATGAAAGAGAATAATACAAAGTAATAAAAACCACATATTATAGGGGCATTTTTTGGAGAAATATATCAAATAACCAAAAAAACACGAATTTAAAAGCAGTTTTTTTTTTTTCAAAAAGTATATTTTTTTATTATTTGTTGGCATTTTCTGAGTATTTTATGTATTTTTTAGTAGTAAAAAAAATCTATAAAAAATAAAAACTCAAAATTTTTTTTACCTCTTTTTTGTCGATAAAAATAGGTCTAGTTTCACCTAATTTCAATTATTATGTGCACTTTATCGTGACTCACACTGTATACCTACATTAAATACACAACATGTGCGAGTTCATAAATGAGGAAATGAGCGCTGAGCATTACATGTTGAAGAGCTTTCAGTGTTTGCACTATTACTAATTGTAGTACTCGTATTACTAAGCCATAACTTGACTTTTTAGTTTTTTGATTCTGAATCTCAATAAAATGCAAGTACCTACTTATATACTCCGTACTTAATACCTACAATCTGAAAAATCTCACGCGTCACGATCTTAATCGTCCTAGAAACGTGACAGAACGCGGCTTATTTAAATTGTGCTAGACGTAGGTGTCGTTAAAAGATTACCCACTTGTAATAAGTAGGTACCACTACAGATAATAGGTACTTGTATTAATACTAGTACCACTAAGTACGCACAATTGATCATTATTAAAAAACTTGTTTCCAGACGATTGACCAGCACTGCGCACAGGTAAAAGAAAACAACGTGGAGTTGAACATAGGCGCTGTTAATGCCGCGATTGAGCAGTATCGTAAACTCATGGACGGCAAGACTGAGCCCTACCCGGCGCTGCTACGTTGGTTGCTGTCGCCGGCGCGGCTGATACAGCTGTCGTTGGACCTGCGGCGCTACCACCAGGCCTCCAAGACCGAGGCCATCGCCGTCTTCAAGGCCCGCCGTCGCGATGAGCTTATCGAACCAAATGACGTCTACTATGAAGATTTAAAGGCCGTACGTATTCTCCTTAAATCAACTCGTATTATTATCAATTTAGGTCGCTGGCATTGCAATAGGGAGTTTCATACAAAGAATACTGAGGGCTCAGTGGGAGTTTTCATCAAATGTCACTAGACTCACTAGACAAGTGAGTGCGTAAAAATGGCAATGCCAGATTTTGTATGGAAGGTGGCGTCTTTTTTTTTTCGCGCGGCCATCGACCAAACTTTGTTTTTTGATTACAAAATAGTGTAATAAACCAAACTTACTATGGCATGTATACCTCTAAACTCAGTCTGAACTGAGTTACGAGCATCAGAAGTTTGATGATTTTCATACTAGATTTAATCTACTAGAATTAAAGACTACTACTAGAATTAAAGAAGGTTTAATCGATGGCCGCGCGAAAAAAAAAGACGCTAAGGACATCATCCATTTTGGTCCAAAATCAAAAGTGCCGGCCAAAAAATAAAAGTGCTGTATTCTGATAGAATACGTCCGCCTTAGCATTTATTACTATGGCACCAAAGCTGTAGCACCACTGTGCATCGTAGTATTTGAGCTCTAAAAATATATGAAACGACTGACTTTGATCTCAAATACTACGATGCACAGTGGTGCTACAGCTTTGGTGTNTCATAAGGGGTGTCAATTTTCGACGAATTTCATAATTTATTGTGTAACTTAAAAAATAATTGAGATAGATTTTTTTTCTTATTTTTCCTAAAGTAGTCATGACTATGTCCACCCTGCGGCGCCGGCTTATCCTTGAATTTTGGGACACGTTGTATACAGGTTGGAATTTTGTAATGCCACCTGAAGGGAAAGTACCTACTCTTAATATAGTAGATAGACATTTCTCAAAGAAAACATTCTTTTGTTTTTTAAAAGAAACAGAACTGCATTCAAAGATTTCCCAAAATTTGCTTGCCACATCCGGAATTCGAACCAACTAAAATCTGTTAAAAATTACACCCTGTATTTTTATTGCATCGATCGTTAGGGTTAAGTATAAGGATGAAATCTCTCTAACAATCTTGATAAATCAAATGAAAGGAAAACCATGAAATCTTAAATGATTTTAATTATGTACAGGAAATTGTATGGTATGGTAGAGAATTTTCGAAAAAAATTCGAAAATATTTGAATGCAGTTCTCTTTTTCTCTCTTTCAGTAACATTTTTTATCTACAGTATTAAGAGTAGGTACTTTCCCTCCAGGTGGCATTACAAAATTCTACCCTGTATAGTTGAACGATGGTGGCGTCCCCCTGTCAATGAGTTTGGTGGGACAGTTCAATTTAGGCTATACGAGTTACATAACCAAACCACAATTATCACTTCATGCGTGCCTGAAAATTATATATATTTTATTACTCTTATGTAATTAGGTAACTTGATAAATAATAACAATGTTATACTTATTTTTATATTACCTAATATACTAACTTTAGAATATACATGTTAGAAATAAGTTTGTATTAAGTAAAATCTGTGGTAAAATGTTTGAACATGACAATTAATTTAACCGCAGCCAAAACCCTTCTCTAGGTAAAGACGGTTTATTGTAAAGGCTGCTTCATTATTTCAAGCTCAATTACGTACGTTTATAGCATACCTACCTACTCTTAAAAGGTGCTATTCCGAATAAACCGAGGTGCTATTGCAACTGCCTACAGACAGCACTTGAAGAAGTCCAGCAAGTGACAAGTGTTGTCTACCTCCATGAGTGCTGCCGTTTCTTTGACAGGAATTGTCAACAGGGAATAGTGGAATAAGCCGAAGAAGTCGCCGGCACAGCTAGTTTCTTATGTACTTACAGACCAGAGCCCCAATTACGGTAATTTTTAACCTCTCCAATCCAGAGCCAGACGCGCTTCTTCGATTCTGCGATACGATTGGTCAAAACAGCGTACGAACAGCGTACGTCAGCTGGATTGGAGACGTTAAAAATTACCGTAAGCGGGGCTCAGTAAGTCAGTACTGCAGTTGCGGCCGACTTCAAGTAACCGCTGCAGTGGTGCACGTGCCGTCAGTAATTTCAAAAGTAAATCAACCTTTAATTGCCAAAAATGGTACAGTGATCATAAAGTCGATCTTTACCCTATCTGTATGAACATTTCAGATAGTAAATACATGCATATAGGTAGGTAAGCAAAACATTAGTGTATCGTCAAATAAAATGAAAAACGATGCATTAGAGATAACATTTTGTATTTTGTAAGTTTTTTACGGCGTTGAAACATTTATAATTTTTTATATAACACTGTAGGTAACTACATGGAAAGGATAACACTATCTGAGCTTATAAATGTACACACGGCCACACTGTTAACTATCCATTTCCGTTGTTGATCTCGCTCTCATCAAATGGTGATTCTTTGCGATAGGACGAGACGACATGACAGGCAATGG